AGAAGAGCAATTTGAGCCTAATGCAGGCACACACACACACACACACACACACACACACACACACACATCAATGAAACTGAAAAGAAGAAAACAATTAATAAAATTAACAAAATCAAAAGCTGGTAACTCTCTAGCCAAGTTAACCAAAAGGGGTGGGGAGGTAGGGAGGAGAGAGAGAAGAGACAAATTAATTAAGGGGTCATCAGTACTGATCCCATAGACTTTAAAAGGATAATAAAAGAATAATATAAGCAACTCTATGGCTAAAATTTGACAATTTAAATTCAATGGAACAATCCTTTGAAAGACACAAACTACCAAAACTCATATAGCAGACATTGACTCCCAGGGCTTCTGCTCACCAGCTTCACAACATCAAATCCAGACCTGTAAGTACTCACCTCTTCGGGGATCTTTAATACAAGCATCTCAAAGCCCTGAGTCTCTCACCAAGTACGTCAATCAATCCTGACCTCTCTGACTCCTTCCAGAATTCTATCAGAATTTTCTCAGCCAAAAGAAAACCCAACTTCCTCAGAAATCCAACATATCTTGGCAACAACTAAAGTCTGAAAAGAATCTACTGGGGAGTGCTGGAAATAATTTTCTTGGTAATTTTGTAGACATATAAACCCATCACCATGGCTTATGTCCCTGATACCCTTCTTTTACCACCCATCTATCTGACATTCACCCTTTTCCTATGTCTTTATCCCCATACTACCCCGTGCTTTCTCTTACCAATTTACCCTACAAGTGTTCCTCTTCTTCCCAAATCTTTTGCCATGACTTTTGGAAATCAAATTTCAAGTTTAATAAATTCTTCTATATCTTCAAATTCTTCAACAATAATTTCCTTCATTTCCTAAATCTTAGCAATACTTTTTCCCCTGCAAGTCCCTTCTCTTTGTAAAGTTCAAAACTTTTAGTAAATATTACATAGTTATTTCATATAGTACTTTGTTTTCATACATTTAACTTATCACCATAACTAATAAGCATGATGAGTAAGTAAATCAAATGGATATCATTTTCAAAGGAATAACTAGTAGCAGTTTTGCAGAAACAAACACTGGTGGCAACACAACAGTATTGGAAGGTATTTCATAGATTTGCTTCTAAAATTTAATAAGGCACAGAACACACACAATATAACCTTCCCAAAAATGAAAGGTTCCCTACTCTCAAAATGCAGGTAATGTTTCTCCCTTATTTGTATGACAAATAATCTACCTTTGTTTTTAATTATATATAGAAATAAGTTAAATCATATAGATTATATCATAGTTATAACAACATATACTTTGCTGATTAAGTACAGTCTGTAAGAAACAATAAAGCAAGAGAGGTCTGCAAATATAATTAGTTATAAGTTGGAAAATATCCAACTAAAAACTTCACAGTAAAAGATACCAGAGGGTCTCAGGGAGTCCAGCTTTCAGGTGTGACCTCTCCCCAGTTGTCATACAGACACCAAATCCTTTTGTTGGTGGGTAACAGGCGGGCTCATCTGTGTGGGGCACTGGTACACAACAGTAGTTATGTTCTACCTCACAAATGACTATACTTCATTGAGCTTATGCTCAGTAGGGCAGTGTTTGCAAACCACTTAGATTCCAGGATGGAAAGAGCTACAAAAATGAAACATGCAATCCTTCTCTGAGGTTTGTTATTAGCCTCTGTTAGCCACAGGTTACAGGGCACTAAACACTACGGACTGTGTTTGCTCCTAACCACTATGAAAAATAGCCTATAACATCTTTCTGAAGACTCCTAGAAAAATTTAAGGTAATTTAAAATCTGGGCATTTAACTGGTATATACTTCAATTCTTAGAACTAGTTCATGTCAAAATGTCTCACTAATTCTTTCTTGAGTGGCAATTCAATTTTGTTTCAAACACTATTCAACAGATTATTACTAAAATTTAACGCTACTGGGGTGAAAAGTGAAGAGGGTAAAATAACCAGTTTTATTTGAAACTAAGTTAATTCCCTGACTACAAATAAGCTTCTTCATGGATGTTAAGAAAAGCTTTTTAAAAAACAGATTCACTAGCTTAATAGCCCCAATGGGTTTAAGATCATTCTTTCTATACCCAGTACATAAGCTAGAGAACCTAAAACAAAATCCTAATAATACATTAAACTGCTGTCCTCAAAACAGCTTATCAAAACATTATTTATGGAAGAGCTCTATACTGTAAAATGTGCACTAAAATCCAGTGTTCATGAGACAGGCAACAGACAATCTACAACAACTCTAGAAACGGTACTGATCCACTTTGAAGAATAATTATATGATATAACACAAAGTTGTTAAATATATTAAAATGCTATTAGAATGATTTGAAAGCATTGTTCTTGAAAAGTAACATTTCCCCCATTTATGGTAATGAATCGTGTAGTCAGAGCTTCTCTGGCCTAGATAAAAAAAATTTACACATATTTTAACAAAATAAACTAGTAGTAAATATATTTAATGTTTTACATAGCTTTTAATTTAGAATCTCTGGAAAGCAGAGAAAATTTATTATATTATCATTAATTTATGACAATCCATTTTATCATCTAAAATTACTAGTTTCCTGAGATAATTTCATGAAAATGTTCATGAACTTCTCAGAAATACTGTGCTATACTGTTGTTTAATAAAACATGGTACATGCTTACAACATTCACAGAAATTATAAAATATAAATAAAACACCATCAAAGAGAAAAAAAGACATGTACCTTCAAAATAGAAATCTTATGTGACAAATTCTAAAAAAGAATAAAACATGCTCTTCCTCCCAAGATATGAGGTACATTAAAAGAGAATAGAGAAGTTTTACTAAACTCAAATACTCTCAAAAAGATGGAAATTTCTGAAATTTCTACAAATTTGCCCAGTAATGCCTTCTGATTATAAACAGATATGTAATGACATGAAACATACACTGTACAAAAAATGATTTGAGGGGGTGTCATACAACATTGTGAATATACGAAATGCCAATGATTATATACTTTAAAATGGTTAATTTTATATAATGTGAAGTTCACATTGCTGTTAATTTTTGTATAATACCATAATTTTATAATGTTAGCAAACTTAAAGTAATTTAAATATACCAAACAATAAAATTTTTAATGATTTGACATATGGTAAAATTAAAAGAATCTAATACATGCATGTTGTATTCCCCTAAATTTTAAATGAATTTATTAACTGAATTTTATATTATTTACCCTGAGACTCATAAAATCTTCCTGTTCTCCACTAACTCTAGCTATATCTATAAACCATAAAAAGATATTCTATTTGACACTCAGAATCAAATCATAAGAAGCTTGACTAACCTAATTTCCTTTTTTTTAAAAAATCCAGTATTTGTCCTTGAAGATAGATCTTAACGGAGCTATTGAAAAGGGACTGTTACTTTCAAAACCCATTTTATCAACTACGTGAGTGAAACACGGACTGTTGATTCCCACAAATCTCTGTTCAGCAATTTTTCTTTAGGTTAATATCCACTTTAAACATAATCAGTTTATAACAAGAAATTAAACAACAACAAAGACAGAAACCAAAATCTGAGATGTACCTTGTTAAGAGAAAAATGAACATGTATAAAATATCAAGTCATATGGTCACAAAATAAAATGTTAGGTGAACAGAAACACTTTTCAGGAGACAAAAGACAATGTAGAAGAAAAGGCAAAGAAGAAAGTTCTAAGAAGCCAATCAATGTATCACTAACATAAAAAAAAAAAAAATATGGCCTTTATACATGATTCAAAACCATATGAGCCTCATATATGTTAGAAAATAATTCAGAATCTATTTTCCATCAAAAATTAAAGCAATGGTATTTGACAATCATCAAAATTCATGAAAAAGTGTGTTTAACATCATCTGCCTTCATCTTCTAGATTTATTATTATTTTTTTTTAATCCTCACCCGAGGACATTTTTCCATTTTTTGTTCAGGTAGAGTGGGAGGGAGAGAGAGGAACAGAGAGAGAGAGAGAAACATCGATGTGTTCTCGAGTGGCTGCCACCCGCACAACCGACCAGGGCCGGGGACAAACTGCAACCGAGGTACGCGCCCTTAGCGGGAACCGAACCCGGGTCTCTCAGGACCGCAGGCTGACGCTCTAACCGCTGAACCAAACCGGCCAGGGCTAGATTTATTTTTTATGAGCAACATAGTTCCACATAACCAAGTTATGATTCTCCCACAGAAAACATCAAACTCCTCCCCGCAAATGCCCCATGATGATGTAAAAAAAGACACACTAAATAAAAGTGGAAGAAAAGCAAAAACTAATAGCATGTCCATAATTAACTTTTTGAAGTATACTACTACATGCACATTTCCTACTTGTACAATAATTTAACTTAAAAACATAAATTATGTCTATAGATGCTCATGTTGTCAAATAATTGTTGTTATATAATGTACACATTTTCTTCTGAAAAGACATCATTATCATGTTAATATTGTATGTGCTTCATACATATAATTAGTCATACTTAGTTTTCTGATACAATATATTGACATATCTATTAAATCTGGAGAACTATATTTAGACTAGTTTATAGCACAAAAATATATAGACATATAAATATGCTTTTTGTCCTTATAACTTAAAATGAAAGAAATTTTCCATCTATATTTTTCTTCATTCAGCTTACATATTTTGAAAGTAGTTACTATTATGAAGTCAGCTAATAAATATCAAAGTATCAATTATCACTACATTTATTCAACTGCTGACAATAATATCTTGTAATATAAGTAGCATATGAAAGCTATTAGAGTCACACCAGTTCTTTGACCCAAATCTTTCCAAACATAATTTGGGGAGGATGAAACCAAAGAATTAGCACGTATATAAATTTAGTCTCTCTACATATCAGAAAGAAATCATGTTAGAAAGAATGTGTAACTAGTTACATGCGTTTGTGGGGGAGTATTTTCAGTATCAAAATAATCACAGAATTCATGTCATACCTGTGCTCCATGGATATATTTATCCAACATCTTGCCTCCTATTGTCTGCCCTCCTATATCGCAAATTTGAAGAGTAACATTCAAGTTTCCTAGAACATTAAAAATAAATAAAAATAAGAACACAAAACAGTTAAGTAACAATATAACAACTAAACCCAGTTTCACAAAACATTAAATCACAATCATAAACTCTGAACCTGATTTGTCTTTTATTCTGCAGACTCATATAGTCAGATATTTGGAACTATGAAGTAATGTTATCAAAAAAAAAATCACAGTGGAAATTTAGGTTTATACTTTTACCCCATTTCCATGTTTATAATTACCTTCAAAACAAAAGAAAATAAATAAATTTTTAATTCATGAATTTCTTAAGCCTTAATTTTTTTTTTTCTGAAACAGAAAATAGAACAATAAAGCACATGTACCACAGGTACTAAATATACTTTAAAAATAAAAACTGAACCTTATATATTAACCTACCCTATTGCACATAATGAATTTTGCTGTTAAGATCCATACTCTAAAGGTTCTAAAACCCATAGAATGATAACAGACTACAAAAATGGATCCATAGTTTCAACTCGAATGAATTTTTAAAATCTGAGTGTCAGCTATTACATGTAATAGTAAACATTATATATTTTCAAATTTAACTTATAAACTACAAACACATTTGATTACCCTCTTCAGAAGTGAGGTAGGATACATACTTCATGTATCACTACACTATATATTATGATGCATTATACCTGTTCAAAGCATTTCCATTGAAATAAATTGTATGTTCTTCAAAGCCTTCATAGTGTATCAAGTCTTTTCCCACACACAAGCATTATAAAAACATTCTAAAATACATAACAATCTTTAAAATTTTTGTTAATTTTGCAAATTATTTGGTTGATACAAAATTTTATGAGATAAGCTACTCTCTCCAATAAACACAATCAATGACTAAAAAAAGACCATGTTCAATATGCTTTTTAGTTTAACATTTCAAACTATTTCTCCTAATAAAATTATGCCGTTTTCTCCAAAGACAGACAAAATCTCAGCACCTTCAAAATGAGCTCCCCACCAAAAATGTATCTTCCTGAATGATATGCAAATCAGGAAAATGCAAAACAAAAACTTAGAAACTAAAAACAAAAAAAAAAAGTATGAATTTTTATACCAACACTAAAATCTGAGAAAATTCATCACACCATTCATCTTTGCAAATGAAGGAAAGTACGACACTGGACTAACCAGCCAAGTTTTGCCCTGAACTCTTTTTGTTGGGTGTGCATTACAATCTTTCCATTATTTGGATGTAGGTATGTTCCATCTGCCAACATGCAGAGGATTTACATGAGGAACTTCCATTAGCATTAATGAGAGTTACTGAAGTTTATCACCAGTCATCATTCCCACATACACACTTTCAACACTCAGAGTAATGATAGAAATGTTCCTAAAGCTCTATGAATACGAAAACCAAAATGTCACAGACTAAGACTTGTCCAACAACTTGTATAAACCTAATTTCTTAAAAATCTAAATTTTTCAAGATTCAAAGCTGAAATCATTCCCCTATAATGCTGTCTTAAATTAAGCAGGTGAGATAGGGCTAGCCATCAGTAGAATTATATAAAATGTTTTCAGAAGCCCTTAGATAAATAGGCAATACTCCATTTGTTTTACTTGGAAAACTTTTTCCAATTAGTATTTAACAATATTAACGTTTTTAGAGTAAAATTTTAGGAAACCCTTAATAAAAGGCAACTAATCCCATTATTTTCAAGGACAATAAACCCCATCATACAAAAATATATGAAGCCTTTTTCCTTTAAGTTCTGATATTCAGATCCTATCTGAATTAAGTGTTATGAATACTTCAACTATAATTTTAGGAACATGATCTTCATTACACGGTTTCAAATTCTGACAACAATCATCTTTGAAGACTTGAAATCTTTATTCAATTGTCTCCATCTAAGAGGTTTATATTTATGTGTTGAGGGTATTTTTAAACCCATACCTTTCCAAATAAACACTCTTTGTTGTGCTTGGCTTGTTTTCTTAATATACATATTCTAGTGCCTCAGAAATAAAAACAGTTCTGCATTACTGATAACCCATTAATAGACAATGCTAGCCAAAAAAAACCAAAAACACTTTTAATCATTATAATCTCAACAAATATTAACTTTATAGTTATTTCACATATCTAGAAACATATTTTTAATTTCCACATTTGAATTTGAGGCTTATTAACACATAAAAATAAAAATAAATGAAACCACATAAAGATGAATTCAAATCAACATTCATTTTAGTTTTTGCAGGCGTAAACATGAAGTCTCCCAGTATATTTTCAAAATGACACACTTATAAAGCTATAAGAATATTTAAATAACCAATATTGCAAAATTTTTAAAAATCAAGAATCTCTCTAATTTTTTAACTAATAAAATACATTTAAGAAAACTGTCATCAATCTAATCCCAAATGCAAAATGCTACAAAAGTCCTGCTTCTCTGTAAGAAGTGACATGTAACTAGGAGGAAAAAATAAATAAATGAGGTGACAAAATACAGGTAAGTTGCTTTTGGTATGAATCAAAGCCACAGAGAGGATTCAACAGTGACCTTGTAAAAGTACACTTGGTGCCTTGGTTAACCTTACTTAAAGTGCTGCACAGTCAAGATGGAACTAAAAACACAAGTCTGCCCACTTCTTGTACTAAAGACTTAGAAATCCTTTTCACAGTAGAACGCTGTTTACTGGACTGTACCCACAAGCTTCCTGAAAGTATTTTGACTAAGGCTCTTAAGAAGCTCTATCAGCAGAATCTCTGACTAACAGATACACTATTTTAAGCAGTAAAATCTGCACAGTGGTTGCATCCAGACTATACAGCATACCGGATCATGAAATACACTAGAATGGATGAGTATTTGCAAAGTAATGACCTTGAAAATGTGCAGGAAGAGAATGTGAATAGATGGACAGGAGGATTACACCGCTAACAATCTGAATGAACATAAAAGTTACAAGAATAGTAACAAATATTAGATTTGATTACTATGCTGCTTCACTATAAATCCAAAATGCTACCTGCAATGTTTAAGCAAATACTGATCATCCTACATTTAACAGTTACAATGAATTAAAATTAAGGTAAATAATAGTAAGAATATACTATGAAATGTGTAATTTACTCACTTTATTTCTTAATGTACCTGTTAATTATATAAAATCAAGATACATTAAAAACAATTTTTCCTACTGAAATTTCTACCATAATTTTGAGTCCATTAAGTAGCAGAAAACCAATTGCTTTTTAAAAAAAAAAAAAAATTTTTTTCTGGAACTCTGCCCATCAAAATAAAACTAAATCAGAAAAATTAAAATATACTTTCGCTGAATATATATTTCCTAATATCATGTTTTAACCTAAATACTTTCTAACTCTAAAATATTATACTAAAATTTCAGATTTCAAAAATACCAAATACGTTTTACAAAGCAATCAAAATTTAAAAATTGGTTAGTAATATGCAACAGATCAGAAATCATCACATATATCAAATATATAAAATGTCCAAAATGAGTCTTAAATGTTTTTAATGTCTGAGCAGGTACCTGATCCTTTATTTAAGCCTTTGAACTAAAAAATCAGAAAAATTAAACAATATTAATGTTACAGAACGATGGTATCTTTGCTAATTAGCATCAAAAGAAAACAGTTAATAACTAAGTACATACTGAGGTTCCCTATGTACAACTGGCACCCCTGAAAAAAACTGCTGTAAAAATGTTTTCAGCATGTACATTATATGACAATGCACGTATTCTGCTAGTGACTGCTATAAATATTATGAAGGTAGCAGTAATGTATGCATAAGAGTGAGAATAATGAAAATAAAATGAGATTTTTGGTTTTGAATACATTAAAAGACAAATGAAACTAAATGTGCATATGTTTCTCATTTAAACTTCTTGCTGAACAATAACTCCATAATGGAAAATTAGAATTATTTTCTCATGTTATATCTTCTAATTTATTTTTCATTGGCAGCCAAATAAATACATACTATCACAAAATATAAGAACATATTACCAGTAAGATATGCAGAATACCTTCAATTACCAAGGGTTTTCATTAGCTGCTTTAAAACTTTCATGGAGAGCTATCTGAGAGATGGGGTGTTAGAGAGATTAAAATATTTCAATAATATTATATTTTATTAAAACCCTTTTCACTATCACTCATATCCCAGCATATGATCCTGACACTACACTTGCAACCGTTTTTATTCAAATGGGTTTCCTCAGAGAGGAGAGGGATACATTGGTTTATAAGGTTAATCAAGATAAACTGCTTTTAATAAAATACTTTAAACGTATAATTTAACCATCATAGTGAATGGACAGAGCATTTTAAAGCCCCAATTGTTCAGAAACTAACTTAAAACAGAAACCACTCTTTTTTTGTTATTATTTCCCTGTATTTCCCACAAAATGTGCTGCAACTGGCATCTAAATAGTTTCTTTGCATGGTGAACTGAAACATCTTGAATGCTCAAACTGTATTTTTATGAGTGCCTAGGGACCCTAAATTTTAGTGGTCTATTAAATGCCAGCAATTTCATGCTGCCTTGCATAAAACAGCATTCACATATTAGAGCACAGAAGTTCCATAGCTACATTATACTTCTAGTCCAACTTTCTCTCAAACAAAAAACTGAAGCAGAGGCTAATCAAAATAATATTTTAAAAAAATAATCCTTTCCAGTCTTTCCCATTTAGTTTATACAATATCTGTTGATAATTGTATAGCATTTGATTTTTTTAAAAAACGTTTTAAAATTTTACAAGCAACTATTGTTTATCCTTGAAAAATCTGTAGTAGTAAAAAATACTAGGAGAGTAGAGAAATATTCATATATATAAACTTTATTCTCACACCTATGGACAATGTCTTCATGGTAAATGTTGATGAAAATTAACCTCCCTAAGATAAATTTACTGATTACATATATTTTCATATAGAAGCAGACCCCTAATTTATTTTACACATTTCTGCCTATGTCTCTTATTATAAAATAAGCACAATTTTCTATGTTACACTTTTAGTCTCTTACCTGGCAATGTTATCCTTCTCAAAAAGAAATCCAGTCCTATAGTTTGTTTGTACTGTTTCCCAAAAGTTTCTTGAGCAAAACACGTAGCTAAGGATGTCTAAAAAAATTGATGCATATAATATCAAAATTAATGTCTTTGTCTTAGAGATGTAACATCACATCACTACAAAATCTTATTAAATAATCTTAATATTCATACTCCCATTAATCCAACACATAATTTTAAGCAGTTCTACTCAGTTACAAAGGGAGGAGGGACTTAACACTCTACCAGGTAAATTTCACTTGCCAACAGCTATCAGTGGAGACAACAGGCTAATCAGTTAGATCTCTTTAAATCCCCTGACTGTCAAGTTCCTTCTCCTTGCTGGAAATTAGAATTTGAAATTTATCAGCAGAGAAAACTAAAGCATCATGATAAAAGATCTGAATTTTATATATCCACATAATGTCAGTTCAATTCAAATTTCAGAGAACTCGAAGTTTTATTCCTGAGGTCGAACGTTTGGAGGAGTTTGTGCCCTTGGCCAATAATAAAAAATGATTAAGGAGGGGAAAGCCAGTTTATAGAATTTATTTTCTTTTCCCTTCCGCCATAAGAAAAGTATCATTAAATAACTAATTTTTCTCTATATTAAAGCTGTTAATAAAAATAACTCTATAGAATGACTCTGATAATATATAGCTTTTAAATAAAAGATTGGTATTTTTAAGATTAATATTAAGCAGGCAAATATAAATATATTCCACCCATGAACCTTAAAAGTCATAAGAATATTATAACCAGAACATATCTATACACAGTATCTACATTTTTTTAAAAAACTCAGTTGTATTCAAAACTCTAAGGCTTTCTTTTAGAGTACCATTTCTTATCAAAGCAAAAGAATAATTAATCATTCTGGTAACAAATGAAATAACTCACAGGCTTCTTAAACATCTTAAATGCACTATTTACTCGCAAACTTTCCCAAATAAATGAGAAAGGCAGCTTCATGAAGCTTTTATGCTTTTCAAGACAGACTCCCAAAGTTAAGGAAAAATAGCACTTTTATTTTAAAAGTTAAAATTAGATGTCAACTCCTAAAATACTTAAAATTAAGATAAAATTTCCTAGATAGCTCATTATAATTAATTATAACATAAGTATAGCAGTACAAAAGAAAACTTGACCAAATTTCAATTCCTTCAAACGAAAAGACACAAGAACCATATTTTTCACACAAATGGCAACTTGCATGCCCTAACTCCAAGTCTTTCATAATAGTTAAATATTCTGCATTTATAACAAATGTCTAAGACACTTGGTCAAATATTCATTGAGCACTACAAGAAAGATGTTCTGCTAGACAATGAGAAATAAATTCACTACACCACAACGAAAATTTAGTTGGCTTCCTTGAAGCATATAACAATACTGTAAAAACTGAGAAATCAGAGTAAAAAAAGTACTCCTTTTTGAACACTTTTTTCATTGACTTATTTATGCCATTAAATTTGTTTAACTCAGAACACAATATCATCTGTGAAGAGACTCAGAGTGCTACAGAAAAATAACTATCATCATTACTTCTATAGATATTTCAAAATGTTCAATATATGGATGGCTGACATAGTATTTTAAGTCACAGAAAAACTTGGAGCATATGTAACATCGGCATAATGTCATTTAAGGTAATTTTTCACTTTAAGATTCTCAAAATTCAGTATTTTTATATTAATAAATCTTCAGAAAAATTCTAAGGTTCTTTTCTTGGAAATGTCTATCCTCACTTTTGAGGCACACATAAGCTAGGGTTTCAAGTGAAATGAAGTACAATCTTTCAAAAGAATAGGTCACTGGGTACACAAAATATGAAAAAGAATTCTTATATGATCTCCGGGCACCTTATTATAATTACTATAAAAATTAAACAGGATCAACTGAATCAGTGGAAGGCATTTCCCCTTTAAGTATGTAGCCTTTGTGCTATTTTTCACATCCAATAATTACTCACAGGGCATTGTATAAATATCCTTCTTAAACAATTATAAAGGGAGCAACCATCTACCATATCTGAAACATTTTATCTGATTCTGTGTGTGTATATAAAATACTGTATTATATATATATTTGGTTTGGTGAACTTTGGCTAACAATTTTTAACCATTCTATACTTACTAATACTGAAAAGACACCATAGAGAAAAATCTTTAAAATTATCCAATAAAATCAAAAGTATGAATCAAAACAGGAAAGAAGTAAAAACGTGTGTTACTAGGGGGAGGAGCTAAATTTCTCTTGGAGGAACTGTTAGTGGTCATCTCAATAATCTATTGCTTCTGTCAGTATGCATCAAAATGCCCTGAGTTAGAACTAGCAGGACAAACTAATGCTAGAAAAAATGGTCAGGAGTTACATCAGGATACAAATTAGAATGAAAGAGAAGCTGAATTCATAAAAGAAAAGGGCAGTAAAGGAAATAGAATGGCAATGTTGGTAGCTGCCAATAATTTGAGAGCTGAATAGGATATGGAGAAAAAAAATGTAATACATGAAGAATGATAAAAGGTTCGGTTTCTGATGCTTGTATCTGCAAACTTCTGGCCAAAAAAGTCTTTATGGTTTAAAAACAGATGAGTCAAAATGATGAAGACTAAGTCAAAACACCATAAAGAACATCACTGTTCTCCTTTGAAACAGAATGACAGTCCTTCAGCAATACAGAAGGGGGAAATTTATGCTTTGTCCTACACAGATTTTAGACAGAGATGTAAAACCATAATTATTCATGCTAAATTTACAACAAGAGAAACATAAGTATGACAGGCTAAGGAAAATGAAAAACCTAGATACAGAATTATGAACAAATTTCAACTGAGTAATACACATATGATAACAGATAAATCCTGGCAGAAATAAATAGAAGTTTTAAAGAATTATGATAGAAGGTAGGATAATGGGCAATTTTTGTCTTTTTACAAGTGTCTTAGTGTTATACATTGTCATTATCATTTCAAAAAAAAATAAATGGTTATGATTTGACTGTAAAAATTTAAGAAATGAACAATTATAAGGCATTCAAAACATGAATTATGAGAAAATTAAAAATGTAACTTAAATTTGTATTGAATAAGGGTGTTAGAAACAATGCTGACTGGTTTAAAACAATTTAGACATTCATAGGGTTGTTTTCAGTGTACAAAATTTCATATAGTTCTTTATAAAGAAAAGTGATCCCAAGTTCTCTTCCCCAAAATGCTTAAGGGTAATCAGAGCACATTAAGTTGTTATTCCTCAGCAACAAAAATCAATAGCAAACTATAGGTGAAGGCAAGAAAAAAATTAACAGAATTCTCCAAATTTTATACATGAAAGACACGTTTCCCAAAGGTTCTAGGAACGCAAATCTCAGAACCAAAGACAGGGGCAGCTGTGCTGTGCCACATGCCAGGAAGAGGCAGAGCAATCGTCACCACGGAAACCAGGGTCCAAACTACGCCAGTAACGGAACTGGGAGGCGGAAAACGGGAGACTGGTTATAATAACCTGAAGGCTCCGGCTGGGGAAAGGGAGGGGAGAAGAAAGGAGACAAACTTTAGCAGTGTTCCCAGAAACCGCTTTGGCGCTTTTGGCAGAAGCGACAGGTGTGAAGGCACCCCGGCAGAGGCCCTTCGCTTTATTTGGGCGGTGGGTCACAGACCCCTTTGAGATAGATCCTGCGGACCAAGCTCTCCAAAGAACAAATAGCGGGCAATGCTTATTCCATTTCGGCAGCTCCACACGCCGGGGTCAAAGGCCCCAGTCTCGGACGTCTGGGGCCCGCGGCCGGATATTCCCACGCAATCATTCACCCCCATTCATTCCACCAACCTTCACTGAAAGCTCGACTCCAAGGCGTGGATCCCCTCTGTTATGCTAACAGCTCCACCCCCAGCATCCAGCCCCCTAATAGGAGCTCAACAGATGTTTGTTGAATGAATGCCTGAGCTGACAGGTGCTGTGCGGGAAACAGAGGGACAAGGATGATGCTGTGAAACAGCGACTAACGTTTATTGGGGGCACGCTACGTTCTGCAAGCGTTTGGTGGACTTTCCCATTGACTGTGTATCTGCACACTGCAGGGGCGGAGACGACCCCTATCCGTCCCCCCTTACCGAGGAAGCAGGAGTCGGGGACCCGACCAGGGAGTGATGGGGCCCCAATTCTCACCCAGGGGATCTGCCTCCAGAGCCAAGCTCGTGGGAGTTCCCCGTGAAGTGGAGGCATCAAACACGGCGAAGGAGGGGGAGGGGCAAAGTGTGACCTGGACTAAAGGAAAGAGATGAGGCGCCTTGGCAGGTCCTTGCCAGCCATCGGAGGACGGAAGCTGGACAGCTTCCCGGGGAGGCGATGCTGGCCCGAGTCTTGAAGGGCACGTAGGAGTTCGCGATGCAGTCAGGGAGTTGGGAAGTAACTTTTTCTTTCTTTCTTTCTTTCTTTGAACTAAGGGCGAGGGGGCTGGAGCGCTCTCGCCGGCCTTTACCCAGCGCGGCTCCGTGTCCGCCCCCAGGCCACGACCAGGCGGTCCCGGCCCAGAGGCCCCGGGCGCAGGGCAGAGCGGCGACGCCGGGCGGCGGAGAGGCTGGGGGCGCTGGGCCGCGCCGGGGTTCCTGCACACTCGGACGGCGAGCCCGCTCGAGGACTGACCTTCCCGGAGGTGCCGTCCCCCAGCACGACGATTTTCAGTTGCCGGTCCTGGCTCTCCTCCTCAGAGTCCGACATGCTGTCCCGGGAACCAGGTCTGCCTCCCCCCACCCCCCGAGGTAGAGGGAGGAAGGGAAGGATGGGGCTCCGGGGGCGGGGAGAGGAGGAAGGGCAGCAAGTGGGGGCAGAAACCCCCGCCTGGGTGCCTCAGCGACCGCTGGAGCAATCCGGGACAGATCACTCGCCGGGCGCCATCTTGCCCACCCTGCCTCCCCCTCCGCACGGCCCCGCCCCCTTCGCGCTACGTCGGACGCGCTCCCCCACGCCTGCTCCAACCAGCGCCGACCGCGAGCCTCCCTGATGAGCCGGCCCATTCCCCGGCCTAGGATAGGGGAGACATGCGAGGCGAGCAGCAGAGGCGCGGCGCTACCCTCGCAGGGGCAATAGGCGAGGGGGAAAATTACGTGTATTTTTCAAACTAGGTAGAAAATGGAAGTCTAGTAGCTCTCAGACGTTCTATCAAATTCTCTTTTATCCATATCCCCCTATGAAGATCCCTGAGGCGAATGGTTTGGTCCGAGGGGTGGTTTGACGCCTGGGCTTTTGCGCTGTGGTTGCCATGGAAGCCAAGCGTAGAAGGAGAGGCGGCAGGGCGACCTGTCTCCGGGCGTCAGGGATGCGGTTTGCCTAGGGGAGCGGGTAGGGGCGGGGCCCTGGAGCTGGAACCACAGAATCTGATGGTTCATTCATCAGGCTAGAAGCCTAAAACATAGATGAGTGGATAAAAAAGCGGTGGTACATGTACACAATGGAATACTATGCAGCTGTAAGAAAGATCTCTTATCCTTTGAGATGACATGGAGGGACCTGGAGAGTATTATGCTAAGTGAAATAAGCCAAGCAGAGAAAGACAAATATATGATCTCAAGTATTTGTGGAATATAATGAACATAACAGTCTGAGGAACTGGGTGGACCCAGAAATGTGGGAGTAGGGTACAGACTGACAAACCCCAGAAAAGGGGGTTTGGTGGGGAAAAGATAAACCACAGAACTTTTATGCATATATGCATAACCAACATAGACAACAAAGCTGGGGAAGGGGCTAAGGGGACGGGAAGAGGGTGTCAATCGGGGGAAAGGAGAAACATCTGTAACAAAAACAAATTAATAAAAATAATTTTTTTTAAAAAAGAAGCCTGAAGTAGTAGTCACGGCATGGTCCAGAAGCGCTGGGGGGCTAATTCAGCTATTTTCATTGTAATAGATTTTATTTTTTTTTCTTTTTCCTGTTTATTCTTTCTAAAATATACAGAGAAGTTTTCCAGAGGATGCATGAGATGTATGACATCACTCTGGCAGCTAAGGGAACATGTGCTTATTATTCAGTTTCAAACATTTCTTAGTATCAATATCAAGGCAGCAGTGATAGCTATAACTTGAATAAACAAAAGCTCTTTGGGGTTCACACTAATTCTTAAAATTGTAAGTGTCTCTGAGCCCAAAATTTTGAGAACTGCTATCCAGTAGGATAGGTAGAAGACATTTTTAAAAAATTGTAATAAGATGAGATAAAAAATCTACAATAATAGTTGTGACCTATTATGCTTGTCTCATTGTTAATTATTTGACATGTTCACTCCTCATGGGAACCCTAAAAAATAGGTCGAATTATTCCATTTTACAGATGAAGAAGCTTAAGTCACAAAAAGCTGAGCCCAGAGGCAGTGTCCTTCATAGAATGGGAATTCAAATGGGAAAGCAGAGCAGTGTAAGAAGTGCACAGCCTGAAGACAGCCCTGGGGTTCTAACCACAGACCTGCCCTTCTTGAATAGATGACCTTGAGCCACAGTCTCCTTATCTATAAAACACCTATGGTACTACCTCCTTCACAGGGATAAGAGTTAAAGGTAGTAATCAATGTAAAGTAACACAGCACAATGCCTGGCATATAGTAAGCACTCAGTATTAACCAGTGTGATCACCATCCTCATCATCTGTCCCATGTTAGAACACCACTGCTTTCTAGCCATGTTATCTTAGGTTTCTCATAGAAACTCTCACTCTCTACATCTGTCGATGGAGCTGGTCATGATAGTAGCCACCCAGTTAGTATCAGTTCCCTATCATTCCCTACTCCCCACCACCAACTTTCTACATCACTGGGTGTGTTAATGAGGATTAGGAGAAAAGGCTTTGCAAAGTGCCTTATAAATGTTAGTTTCTGGAATCTGCATGTAATAAGGATAGATTTAACCCCTTTTTGTCCACAAAGGGAGTTAATGTGGTAGAAACTTGCTTTTTCACTCTTCCTTAATGGAAATGGTTATGTGACCCAGTTCTGACCAATGACATAGACGAGAATGTCTTTAGGGAGAAATCTGATATTTTCCTCTCAGATAAGAAAAGAAAGAAAAAGGAGAGATGTAGAAGGAAAGATCTCCCCCTCCCTTCCTTTGCTGTCATTATTTGAATGAGGACATATGTTGAGAACTGCTCAGTCTTAGGCTGACCACCTTCTAGGCTTTTTGTTATGGGGAGTAATACTAAGGCACTTGAGTGATGTATTCCATTAGTTGAAGACAAAGAAAAATTTCCCACTGGCACTATTTTGGCCAAAAACTAGATTTAGTATACTCATTGGACTGATTTTCATGTGTAGTTTCATCTGAAGGGAAATCTAGAGGGAAACTTTGCATTTTCCAATCATTGATTTCCTAAACAACTTCCTTGATGTAGAGACATTATTTGGATATGGGTTCATCCCTATGATAGTGTTGCTATATGAAATAAAAAGCCAATTGCATTAAGTTAGTGACTATATTTTACATATCTGTGGCAAGATTTCACGCTGAAAATTCTATTTGGAAACTTGAAGCCATATTTGTAAATTAAAAAGAAACAAATATTTCTCTTTGTGGAGTACCTTGCTGGCTAGCATTGCCAGCTTCCAGTGCATTGTTTTAGCATGCTAAAGAGAACTAGAGCTGATCCACAGGAAACAAAGATGTCTCTGTGGATCCTCTGTAAAATTCCCAGGCAGGGCCATAAATAAACTAGGGGAATCTTTTCTCATGTTCTTAAAACTAATACATTAGCAAAATGCTTAGAAAATAATTCTAGAAACAAGAATTAGGGTTCTTTACATATGAAGAAGTAAAAGTAATCACACAAGATAAACCTGACTCTTATCTGTCAAACCAGCTTTTCACCTAATTTTAAAATATCTGTTCTGGCATCTGTAACATTGATCATCCAAATTTTGTTGGAATACCTCCAGATTCAAAGAGCTTATTCCCTCATGAAGCAACTTGGACGATGGCCCGGTTATTAGAATAGTCTTTCTGAGATGAGCTGAAGTCTCCCACTGCTAATGGTATTGGGTGTGTTTTCTCGAATACAACAGAACTTTCCCATTCTAAAAGAAGGTTTTCAAAATGATTCATTATATTAATGATTGATTTGACAAATATTAAGTGAATGTCTACTGTGTGCCAAGAATTCTTGTCACAACTCTTCTAAACAATGAGGACATACATACAAGTGAGCAAAACTTACAAGGTCTCTGCTCCCATTGAACTTGCACTTTGGTGGAGAGGTTAGTAGACTAAATAATGACTGCCCCAAAAATATGAGGTCCCAATCCCTGGAATCTGTAAATGTTACCTTATTTGGAAAAAGCATTCTTCAGATGGGATTAAACTCAGGATCTTGAGATGAAGAGATTATCCTGAATTATCATTGTAGGCCCTAAATATAATCACATGTATCCTTAGAGGAAAAAGAGGAGATTTGACCCAATGTGACCAGAGGCAGAGAGAGGAGTGATGTAGCCATAAGCCAAGGGATGCTTGCAGCCACTAGAAGCTGGAAGAGGCAAGGAACATATTTGCTTCCTTGAGCCTCCAGGGAGAACACAGCCCTATCAACATTTGGACTTCAGTCTCATGAACACTGATTTAGGGCTTCTGCCCTCAAAAATTATGAGAGAGAGAGAGAGCTCTGGCCTGTTTGGCTCAGCAGTTAGAGCATCGGCTTGCAGACCAGAGAAAACCAGGTTCAGTTCCCACTAAGGGCACATACCTCAGTTGCAGCCCGGTTGGGGTTGTGTGGGTGGCAGTGAGTCAATGTGTCTCTCTCACATTGATATTTCTCTCTCTCTCTCTTCCTCCCTCTCTCCCTCCCACTTTATCTGAAGATAAATGCAGGGATGTCCTCGGGTGAGAATTTAAAAAAAATAAAATTATGAGAGAATAAATTTATCTTCTGTAAGCCACCAAGTTTATGGTAAGTTGTTACAATAGCCACAGGAAACTGATACAAGGAGAAACACAGAAATTTCATAAATCAAACATAAAAATTTCAGATTCAAATAATAAAAACATGATAGATGGGATAAAGACTAAAAATACCTGAACACTTTTGTTCAGACATTAATTAAATGGAGAGATATCCCATGCCCATGCATAGAAACACAGTATTGTAAGATATAGCAATTCTACCAAAAGATCTACGAAGTCCATGTGATTCTAATAAAATTTTTCATGGAATTTGAAATAACGCACACAGAAAGCAAAGATCCAGGAATAGTGAAGATATTCCAGGAAAAGAAGGACAAAGAACTTGCTTTACCAGAAAGCAAGACTTTGCATAAAGTTATAATAATTAAGATATAGCATATTTATTGTTTCAGGAATAGACAAATGAACCATTATAGTAAAATAGAGAGCCATGATATGGACTCCCACATATGGAACGTTGATGTGTAACAGAGCATATATGATAGTAGGTAGAAGGGGGAAATGATCATAGCTGGAAACTATATAGGGAAAAAAATGAAATTAGAATCCTACATTTCATCATACACACACACACACGAAAAAAATTCCAGTGAAATTACCATTCTAAGATTTAAATTAATTGTGGTGACCATCTTTCTTATCTTAGGATACACAAGGATTTCTTGAACAAAACACAGTTACTCATAAAGGATAATATAAAAAATTGCATTAAAATTAAAAACTACTCCATCAAAAGATACCACAAAAAAAAAAGAGAAGAGGTTGGGGATTACCATAACATCTGTTATTTAAGCCACCCAGTATTTTGTTATGGCAACCCAAGCTAACTAACAGATTTTGAACACAATTCAGTCCATAGCAATCCTAAAAGAAAAATAAGTGTACTTGCCTAATTTTTTAAGTATTGAAAAGAGATTAGAATTTCCAGATTTTTTAAAGTATTATTAAACTACTATAGTTAATACTATGTGGAACAGGCA